GGGGGACTTGCGGGGAGACCCCGGGCCAGGCACCTGCGGCAATTAGGCCCCAGCTCCAGCCCTCCAACACCCCAGCAGCCGAACGGGGGGGGGGGCATTGGGCACAGCCACTTTCAGTCTGGTGAGTGAAAGTGGGGGGGTGAGATGAGGTCAACCTCGAGGGACAGGGAGGGAGAAATCAGGACAGGCTTCCTGGAGAAGAGAGAAACTGAGCAGCAGATAGGCAGAGCTGGAGGACAGGGCGCTCTGGTAGAGCAGGCAACGTGAGAGCTTGGTGGGGGCGTTGGAGACACAACGGAAGGAAAGGAGCTGGAACGTCCCCTCAACTACTAAGATACTCCCAACGCCTGAAACTGAACCGTTTCCTTCCCTGGGTAAAGCATCAGCTTTCCTCTGGCTCCTCTTTTAAGTGATGATTTGGAGAGCGGGTGGCCCACGCGGACGAGAGCGTTGAGTTCGGGGCCTGGGAGAGGCGTGCCCGCCGCCGGTACCTTCTCGGCCTCCTTGGCGCAGCGATCCACCCGCTCCTGCAGCTTGCGCCGCTGCTCTTGGGAGACGGCGCTGTCCGCCTTTGCGTGGCTCTCCCGAGTCTGGGCTGTCTTCTCCTCCTTCCGTGCTACATGGTAGCTCTTCTTGGAAGCCTCAACCTGGCACGCACGGGGACAAATCCGGAGACCCTGCAATGCCAAGCCCCGGCCCCCTCCAGCCCCGGGGCGGATTCGGGAAGGGACCCATCCCTCCCAGGCTCACCTCCTTCAGCCTCTTGAGCCAGGGCTTCTGGGCCTTGCGGAAGCCGTCCTCAGCAGCCCGGCTCTCGCGGAAGCCACCCAGCACAGGCCGGTGGAAGGCCCCCCGCTGCCAGGCGCGCACCCGCTCGCTGTCCTGCCCCTGCAGCTTCTCCCGCACCTCCAGGTGCAGCGCGCTCAGCCTCTCGGCTGCCGTGAAGAAGGCGTGCCAGGCCTTCTCCAGCGTGCCGTACTGGGGGCCTGCAGGGAAGGGCTGGGCTGGGACCCGGCCAGGCACGCCGCCAGAAACGAGCCCACCCCCCTCCCATCCCCCTCACCACAGGGGCCTGCCCTGGGTGCCAGGCCCGCAGCGGGGGATGCAAAGGTGAACAACGAAGAGGTCAGCGGCTCCTTAGGGATATACGCGATCTCACCGAATCCTTATCCACCACCATGAAAACAGAGTCACAATCAACATTTAACAGGCGAAAAACAGCAGCCCAGAAAGGTGAACTAATCACTCAAAGCATTACAGCCACAAGTCAACTGCCCAAAACATTGCAGCTGAGGTTCAAACCCAACTCTGCGGCATCAACCACTACTATTGCCTCAGAGGGAAGAACAAGCTTTTTAGAATGGAAAGATCCCCAGCTCCCGAATCAGAAGGCCTAGGTTCGAGGTTCAGCTCTTCCTAGCTGTGTGACTTCAGGCAAGTCGCCTAGCCTCTCTGAACTTCTGGATTTTCCTCTAGAAAATGGGTAGAACAGGACCATCTCCACCACAGGGCTGTTAGAAACATCAAAGTAACTCACGACCATACTCTGCAAAACTCTTAAAAACTGTAAGAATAACCAAGAAGCTCTTCCCTCTTCAAAGGGAAGGCATACGCAGAGTCCTCAAACTTCTCATGAGAGTTGCAAAAGAGAAGCTGCCTCGCCTGATCTTCCCACCCCCAGCGGCCTCTGCTCCCGGCAAGGCCTGAGCACTGGCTCACCCTTTTCCACGGTGCCCCTCCACTTGCGGGCCCAATCAGCCAGCTGCTGGGCGTAGGCCTTCTCAATGCGGGCACGTTCCTGGAAGCAGCTGACCAGGTCCCCGCAGAGCCGATGCCCATCCTCCACCCGCTGCACGGTCCGCCTATAGTTGCCAGCCTGGGGCAGACAGGAGATAGGCGGTGTCACCGGGGAGAAGCCCCCTCCAGGGCTGGGGCTGACAGCTCAGCTCCTCTCCTGGACAGGTGGCTGGGCCCGGGGGGAGGGGGGGCATTTCAGTGCCACCACCAAACCTAGGACCCAGCTGCTCACCTCCCAGAAACTGCCCTCCAGGGCCTCCCCTCCAGCGTCTTCCTCTGGAGCCATGGTGTCCCCGCAGCACGGAATGGTGGCGGATGGGGGCTATGGAGGGCAAAGGGGTAAGCAGGGAAGCCAGATATACGCTGTTGGGGAGAGGAAAAGATCCTCTCCTATCCCTGGACTTTGTCCCCACGGCTATCCCTACCATCCAAGGAACTGTCAGAGCTAGGACTCCCCAGGTGGGGGGTCTGGAAGGTTCCAGGAGGGGCTGGGATAGGAGAAAGGATGGCCACTTCAAAGCTCTTCCTTGGGCCCTAGGTCCGCCCACCCCCTCCCCCACCCAGCCTCATTCCACCTACCTGGGGCCTAGAGATCACTGCAGGGACCTGGATGTCCAACTCTCAAAGCTGCCGCCGTGATTCTGCCTTGGAGCTGACAAAAGCAAGGCCGGGGGTGAGGGCAGGGACCTAGAGCGTCCAGGGCGGTGCCCAGCTCCCCCGATATAGCAACTGCTGTCAGAAGCGCCAGATTCCAGCCAGGAGAATGCCAGGCGGGTCACACGATCCAACTGGGGATTAGGTGGCAGGCGGGGGTGGGTGGTGGGCATAGGGCCCCGCTGCCCCCCTTCCCCACTACAGATGAGAGCGGAGGATACCTGCCCACGCCAGGCCCTGTTTCCTTCCCCTGAACAACAAGACGACCCTTTACCAGACCAGGCCAAGTCGGAGGGTGCCCAGCCACACTCCAGTGACTCCCTTTGCCCGCAAGAGCAGACTGGGAGCCAGGAGGCCTGAGTCCGGTCTTGGCCAAGAAGCTTGAACAAGTGCATTTTACAGCCCTGGTGAGGTAGAAATTCTGCCTCCTGGTCCTCCGTGCCAGGGCTGGTCTCAGACTCAAACCAGGCAATGAGCAAGAAATGTGAGGGGCCTGACAGTCACAAGGGACATTCATCCTCTCCCACAGCATCCACTGAGGTCCCATAAGCCTCCCTGGGTAATGAATAACTCAGCCCCACCCTCAAAGAGCCCAGAGTCTGGGGCAGCAAGGGGATGCCGACAGGCCATCAGCCAATTCTAAGAGTGTGCACCAGAACCGTAGAGGAGGGCAAGGTGGATTCCAACCCCAGAGCCACCACTCCAGAGGCTAGGGGACACAGTGGCATGCGGCCACTCCCCTCCTGCCTCTTGGCAGCGGCTCAGCTGTCCCTAGCACTGACTCAAGCCCCTAGAAGGAAACCGCTTCCTCCTCTGAGCAAGCCCAAGGGACACCGCCAGGCCCAGGGGGACAGAGTAGGTGCCCACTGCCCCCAAGCAGGGCTCTATCACACTGCTCCCCTCCAAACTGACAAGCCACTATCCATCCTTCAAAACTCCAGTCTCCCAGACCCCATTCCTCTACCCCCATTCACACAGCCCCTCGTGAGCCCTCCGTCAGGCTATATATTATATATTCCATCGGATCGTCATTGACAGGAGAGGATCTGTCCCCAGTCATTGACAGAGGGGGTCCAATTTGCGGGTTTCTTTGGGCACTGCAGGTGGTAGCTGAATGAAGAAACAGGAAAAGGACCGGGAAACCTGCTGGCTATAGCAGCTGTGAGAAAGCTTGGCCTAGGTGGGACCCAGCCCTAAGCTAACAGGAGAGAGAGCTGAGGCGCGCAGCGGAGCGGCCTGGGTACAGAGCAGGAGAGGGACAGAGTGGCTGGCCCACCAGGGTCCTCAGCACTTCCCCTTGCTTCTTCTTGAGGCTGCCCCATTTACCCAGAAAGGACTTGCCAACCAGATGGAGAGAAACAGAGCCGCAGCTGTAAATCACAGGGCCTTCGGAGCAGTGCCAGTCAGGCATCCAGGGGCCTGGGCCCCCTGCCTGCTCCAGCCTCCAGGCTCCCAGGAGACCTGCCCCCCACCCGGTCCCTCTCTCTGGCCCCAGAACAGAGCAAGCTGTGTGTGCAGGGCTGGCACTGCTCCCTCCCGCCTCCCAGAGCAAACACAAGCCCGAGTCCCAGGCACAGCCAGGCCCCACAGCCCTGGCTGCATCTAGCTATGGGTGTGGGCCCTGCGTGCCATGAGGGGCACCCCGAGCTTCCTGACTTCAGCAGAAACCCAGACTGGTCCCCAGAACACCCTTGGCCACAGGCAAGAGCTCTGAAGGCAGATAATGAATGCTTCCCAGCCCAGGTAGCCAGGACCTACTGGGCCTGCAGAAGTCTGCGAGGGAGCTTGGCACGGTCTCCTCAGAGCTGCCGGGGCCAAGGTAGGAAGTCCTGAGACTCGGGAAGAACCCACTCTCCCTACCTAAGGCAGGTAGGTACCCCCCACCCCCACCCCCGCGCAGACCAGCCCCCACCTTCCCAGAAGCTGGGGGCAGGCCCCTGGGAGAGAGCACGGCCGTCCGGCCCTGCCCGTCCTCCTGAGTCACAGGCTGCGCCCAAGGGCTCCCGCGGCAGCGCCTCCCGGGCGGCCCGCAGCCCTAGGATGCCGAGGCACAGTTGTGGGCGGCCCACTGGTCCAGAGAGCGGTGCCTAGGCTAGAGTGGCTGGAACCAGCAGCCAGAGCCGCCCCGGAGGGTGGGGGAAGGGGTGGCGCAGGGAAAGGGGAGGAGGCAGGGCCAGGGAGGGGCATAACAAAGGGGCACTTTTGGAAACCCGACCGGCCGCCCGAGGTGCCTGCTCCCTGATGACGCACTCCAAACCCGGAGCCTCTACACCATCCCTCTGGCTGCCCGTGTCTGGCCTCAGCCCTTATGGACGGCGCCCTTCGACCGGCCCTCCTGCCGGCCCGAAGCTGCACCACTCCGAGCCGGTGGAGCCCACGCGGAGCAGCCGGGCCGGGCCCAGCCATGGAGGCTCTAGGACTTCTTGGCCAAACTTGTTGAACTTGGTCTCGGCGCGGGTGGGGCCAGCCGATCACCGCTGAGGGGAGGGGGCCCACCCTTCCTGGGCCAGCCCGGCCGTGGACTCCAGAAGGTGACCCGGGGCAGCGGCCCAGGAATTAGGGCTCTTTGCAAAGAGCGAGGGGTCCCCGGGGTGTTTGGGGGCCTTTAAGGAGCCCTAGGACATGGTGTGGCCCTCCAGCCCCGATGCCCCCCTCTCCTCCGCCGGCCTGGGAAATCGCGGGGTGCGCCGCGCCGCAGATGAGACACCCCCTCGGCTCGGCGGCGCTCTTCCCGTCCTCGCGTAGAGTGGGGTAGCCGGGGGCTCCCAGGGCGGGAGTCGGTCCCATTGCAAACTTCAAGAGCCGGAGGAGAGGGCGGGATCGATTCGCGGGTCCCGCCGCCGCCTCCCGGCGGTTCCCGCGGGGGCAGCACTCACCGCGTCCTTCCTGGGCGTCTCGGCGGGTGGGGGCCCGGCCACGCTCCGGCCGGAGTCCTGCCGCTCCCGGGCCGGGGCCACCGCCTCCCGGAGCGCGCCCGGCCCTCCCCCGGGAAGCCCGGCCCCCGGCCCCGCCCTCTCCTCGCGGCCGCGGCCCCAACCCCACCCGCCAGAGGCCGGGGCGCAGGGGCTGCAAGCATCGCGGCCACCCGCGGCTCCCGGAGCGCGGGCCGTGGGGTATCGGCTCCAACGGGAGAAGCGCCAGGGCTCGCTCCGCAGGGTGGCGCCGCGCTGCACAAGGGAGTCGGATTTCGGCTTTGCCCCTCCCGGCCTTTGCAGAGCCTGGGAGCCCCGTGGAAGCGGGAAGGGATTGGGCCTGCCCGGGTACCCCTTGGAGGGAGGGCTGGGGGCTACACTGCCTTAATATTTCTTTGCTGAGCACGCCTTTCTTATAAGTTAGTTACGGCGAGGTTCACAGCCACCCCCTTTTACATTAGGATTCCCATTGTACAGATGCGGAAACTGAGACCCGAAGACCTTCAGCAGCTTGCAAAAGATCCGTAGTCGGGCAAGACCCGGATTCCAAAGCCGTGCCCTTTCCGTGCACAGCCCTGCCTGCCAATCTGAGGACTGCGTGGGACACGCGGTGGGGGTGGGGCAAAAAGGCATGAGCTCCTACCCCTCCGTGTTCTTATTCCCAGATTCTGTCCCACGATTCATTCTTAAATCTCTTTGCCCCTCCACCCCCACCCCTTGTCAGTCACCAGATTTGGTAGATTTTTTCCAGATCGCCACGCTGCCACCCCACCCTTAATAAGTCCCTTCTCCCTCACCCTCTTTGCCCCCACCCTGGGATTTTTCGCAGCCTGCCTGTCTGTTATTTATATCCACTGGAGCGGTCCAAGAATGTTCCGAGGCTGACCTAATCGCCACCTGCTTGGCCTCTCCGTCCCTCCCGATCCCTCCTGGGCCGGGGGACCCGACGACCGAGCCCTCCGCCTGGCAGAAGAGGGGGGGGCGGGTTAGCAGGGTCCAACGCCCGGGGAGCTCAGAGGGTCCTGATGGCGCAAATTCGCTGGGGATTGGAGAGCCCCAGCGGGCTCCGAGGAGTACGCCCCCAGGGGGACGGCGTGGCGCTCTGGGAAGCCAAAGGCCAAGCTGTTCTCTCCAGCACGTACTCTTCGTCCCCACTCCCCGCCCCACCACCACCCCCTGAGGAGTGTGAGTATGTGTGCGCGGATTTTTAAATTGGAGCTTTAAAAATAGCAAAAGTATTTTTCTGAATCCGAGAGGCACCGCTGATGCGTTCTTTATGCAGATAAATTCGCTCATAAAATGGAAAAGGGCCCGGAAGAGAATGAATGAGGGTAATTTCAGGTGGTAGTATTAGCTGCTGAGGACTGAGCTGCTCCACAGCCCTAGTGGGAGGGTGAAACTGTGGGCATCCAGGACGCAGCGCGTTTGGCAAATCCCGCCTGAGCAGTGGATCCTGGCCTTGGCGCTCACAGGGTGTGTACCCAGCAGGATGTGGTTTCTGAAACCAGTTTCAACACCCAGTCTCTGTCGGGGCATGAAAAAGTCACTTTTTTTCCATATTTCTGTTTCTACCTCTATGAAACATGACAGGTGACCCGGCTGACCTCCCAAATGGACCGTGTGCCCCAGCTAATTACTGATTGTAAAAGCTGTAAATGAGAGGAGCTGGGCTAATCTATAATGACAGCTATACTGTCCTGTATTATTTTAAATCAGTTAACATCCCACCTAGTGCCTGGGGGCCTTTAGGCACCTAGACAGAAAGTGTGAAAACACAAGAATGAAATTAATTGCAGGAACCGCCTATTAAAACCCCATTAAAAATAAAGGCTGCAAGCCAGACTGGCATCTGGGAAAGCCAGGTCAGAGAGAGATTCAGAAAAGAGGGCTGGGCTGTTCCTCAGATCACAAGGAGAAGGGGATATGGACTGGAAAGCATCTGGCTTCTCTTAGATTCTAATCAGGAGGCAGAAAGCAGAAATACTGCAGCTGATTTTAATTGCCCCTAAGGTACTGTAGGGAGAAAAAATAAACTAAAACCCAGAGCATACGGAGCTGCTTCAAAGGTGAAAGGAGACAGAGCTGCCTTTGGAACACCAACCCCCTGCTAGTGCTGTTCCCAAGGGCTCAGATTTCTATGCTCTGCGGCCAGAGAGCCCCTGCACACTCATGCGGCTCTATCCGCGCAATACTGAACTTAAACAGAGTTCAACATGAGATGCCCGGGGTCAGAAGCTGGATAGACAGAAACCGAGAGAGGCAGCCTGCAGGGCTCAGGGCACCAGGTGGCAGATTGGTCCAACGCCTAAGTTCACAACACTGACAGACTCTCTCACCTTGAGTTTCTGGAATGTCCTAACCACTGTACGTTTATTTGTTTATTTATTCATTCAGTCATCCAGTGGAGAAATCATTTGAATTTTTGTTCTATGCTAAGCCCTCTTCTAGGTATTGAGAATACAAGATAAATAAGGCATAGTCTTAGGTGTAGGCTAATGATACAGTGTGGGTAGTAAGTACTTTGGAAAAACAGAGCCAGAAGAGACCACCTTTCACCAGGTGATGACACTTGATTGGGCTTGATGAGCAGGAATTAGTCATGTGAAGAGGCATTGTAGGCGGGAGCACCAGGGTGTGCCAAGCCCCAGAGGTGTAAGCATATGACTTGGTGATCCAGCAATTTCGCTTTTTGGAATCTACCCTAGACAAACATGTGTAGAAGTGCAGAAAAAGGTACAAGGATGTTTGCATGTAGTATTGTTTGTAGTAAGGGAAAACTGGAAGCAAATGTCCATCAAGAGGCTTTTGGCTAGCGGTTCACCAAAGTGCCTAAGTCAGACGGTGCTGAGAGGCCCCCGGCCCAGGGACTCCCTCCGGGGACAGAGTGATGGGGCCCAAGCCCTGCCCCTCAGAGTGGCCCACTGGCCACGTCAGCCACTTAAAAACCCCTGTACATACACCAGAGATTTGGAAATAACGATAAACACCAAAGTGCCGGAAAGAAAAAAAAAATAGTTGAATAACCTAGTATTCATTCATGCTATGGCTAAACTCTGCAGCACCTGAAGCACAAGGTAGATGGAGCTGTTTTTTGTTTTTTTAGATTTATTTGTTTATTAGAGAGAGCGCGCAGGGGGAGGGGCAGAGGCTGAGCACAAAGCCCAACTCCGGGCTCCATCTCACAACCATGAGATCATGACCTGAGCCAAAACCAAGAAGTGGGATGCCTAACCAACTGCGCCACCCAGGCGCCCCAAGATGTGTTCTTATATGAAGAGCTCCAAGACCCTGTTGAATGAAAAAAAAAAACAAAACACAGAACACACAAAAAATTCGGAGAATATATGCCAAACTGATTTTGGTGGCTATCTCTAGGGAGAGGTCTAGAATTGGTAAAAGAGATTCTTGCAGTGTTACAAAATTAGCAATGAGGGGCGCCTGGGTGGCTCAGTTGGTTAAGCGACTGCCTTCGGCTCAGGTCATGATCCTTGAGTCCTGGGATCGAGTCCCGCGTCGGGCTCCCTGCTCGGCGGGGAGTCTGCTTCTCCCTCTGACCCTCTTCCCTCTCGTGCTCTCTGTCTCTCATTCTCTCTCTCTCAGATAAATAAATAAAATCTTTAAAAAAAAAACAAAAACAAAATTAGCAATGAGCATGTACTTATATGTAAATTGTATGATAAAGAGTTTTTAGGAAATCATGAGTGAATCTTACTGTCTAACACAGTGCTGTCCGAATGGAATTTTCTGCAATGATGGAAATGCTGTAGAGCTGCGCTGACCCATATGTAACCACTAGCCATCTGTGGCTATTTCGAACTTGTAGTTAGGAACTGAATTTTTAATTTTAATAAAATTTAATTTTAATTAAAAATTTAATAGCCACAGGTGGCTGGTGGCAACTGTATGGGACAGTTCCGATCTAGAATATCTAGAATACTGAGTTCAGGATGGGGTGGAGGCAGATGGAAGATGAAGCTGGAAAATGAGTTGAGATTGAACAGTGAAGATTTGCAAGGTGGGCTGAGGAGTTCGGACTTCAACCTACAGGCAGTGGTAAGTGTGCGTGGAGGGGCTAGAGGAGATTTAGCCAAAGAAGTCTGCAGGCAGCCCTGAGAAGGGCGGAGGAAAGCAGGCAGAGGGCTGCAAGCAAGCTGCTGTGTTACTCTTCGTGGCCTCTGGACATTGCCCCAGCATTCCTGACGGGCAGCTGAGTAAAGTATTTTGGTTCAACAGCTCTGTTTTTAAGATCGCAGGCAACCCCAGGTAGAAAAAAATGGTCAGAGTTATCGGGAGGAGCTAACCTCAGTGGGGGAAGCTGTTCTGGGCAGGAAGAACAGCAGATGGAGGGCATTAGAATAAAAATGCATAGCCGGCTTCTGTGGGGCCCGTAGAGAAAGCTTCTCCAGGGTCAGGAATTTGCCCGGGGCAGATTCTTTGGAAGGTGCCCTGAGCTGCCAGGGCCCAGCCCAGGTATCAGCTAAGTAGGCGGAGGGTTCTGTTCGGGAAGCCTGCCTGCTCTGGTTCATTTGGGGCCCTT